CTTTGAGAATTTTACGAAACCGGCACCTTACCGTTGTTCAAGCGATTCATCAGCTCAAAGAAGTTCGAGGTGTGCAAATTTCTGAACGTACTGCTCGGAGAAGATTAAATGAGTATGGATTAATGGCTTTTCGTCCAGTAAGAGGAGCAGAGTTGACCAAAACTCACAGAGTAACACGGCTGGTTTTTGCTCGAGAACACAGCCATTGGACTATGGACGAATGGAGTGCTGCACTTTTTACAGATGAGTCAAGATTCGCCCTTCGATCTCCAGATGGGCGTGAAAGGGTGTGGAGAAGAAGAAACGAAAGATATGCAGCCTGTAATTTTTCCCAGAGTCAACCTTTCCAACGTGGTTCCTTAATCTTAATGGTGTGGGCTGGGATTTCTATGGAGCGTCGCAAAGAATTGGTTGTTGTTCGTGGAGGGTCTTTGACTGCCATTCGCTATGTAGATGAGATTTTGGAACCTCATGTGTTGCCTATCCTTCAACGAAATCGGCATTCGTTCTATTCTAATGCACGATAATGCATGCCCACATGTCGCCCGCATAGTGCAGACGTTCCTTCAACAGAAAAATATTGAGGTTTTAACATGGCCAGCACGTTCTCCAGATTTGAACCCCAAGGAGCATTTATGGGATAACCTCGGAAGACAAATAAGATCGCATGCAACACTTCCTGATACACTGTAGGACCTTGAAAGGGCTCTTCGGGAGGAATGGGCTATCCTGCAGCAAAGGGACATTTCCCGACTGGTGGAAAGTATGCCGAGGCGTCTTCAAGAAGTAGTGAAGGCAAGAGGAGGAAACACGCACTACTAAACGATGATGTAATTAATTTCTTTTAGAATAATAATGGTTCGTTTTTCAATTTTTTTTTCTCTAATCTTTCTTACCCAATCACATTTTGATTATTAAAGGTAAAAAAGATTATAAAATTCCATAAATACTAAGTATTATATACAAATACAACTTTTTTTACAAGTGGCAGAAATATTTTTAGATGAAAACATGAAAAAATCAAGTGTGTGGAAATTTTTGCCTGGTAGTATATAATCATGTGCATGCAAGTCAGCAGCTATTTATTAGAGAAAAAATTTGTTAGGAACTACTGATCTAGAAGAACTTATAATTTCCTTACTCTCAGTATCTTGCCCTTAAATGTGATGAATGATACAATTGTTTCAACAAGATCGCTTTCAGCTTAATAAAGAAACTAAGTAGAGCTCTCATGTCCTTAAGGTCAAGTTTAAGTAAGACTACTTATATGAAAACATATAATACAAATATGAAAAGCTCATCTTCCAACAGATAGATCATAAAGATACTGCAAATGTGTGTCAAAAGAGTAAATTCAATTTGAAGCAGTGAATCTTTTCTATATGTTTGATAAGAGCTTCATTCTAAGGATGGATGGAGTGGTAAGTGAGGCCAGGATCCAACTGAATACTAGACACTGGACAAATGTAGCTTCGGATAGTGTCCTCTTACTGAGGCTCTTACAGAAAGATCATATTCATTAAGTAGGTTGTTGAGCCATTGATGTATGCATGTGTAAGAAAACATATCATATAGATCTTCTAACAGATGGATCATAAAGATACTACGAATTTGTAAAATATTTGGTTATTTCATGAAGTCAGACAATTAAATGGCTGTAGAAAAAGAAGAAAAATTAGCAATGCATACAATAATTTGTAAAATTATTGCAAAACAATTAGGTTAAAAAACTCTCTCTAAGAGTGATGTAGTTATCATCCTTTGAATGAAACCGTTGTAATTCATAGCAGCAATACTGGAGGCTATTATGCCTATGAAAGCAGAAGATTATATCAAAACTGCTCCATGCAGTAAGGATTGGGGTTTGTCAGAAAGTAGAACAATCAGAAGTTGAAGGAGTTTTTTGTTAATATAATTGTTTAAGTTCAGTTTGACTTTCTCCAGAAAGCTCCAGGCATCAATCCTCAGGAGAAGGCTCGCTACTAATAGCTTACTGCGATCAATGAGGAGAAAAGAAAATTTTGGTTTTAATGGTTTAAGCCTAAGTTACCTAAGCCAACCTACTGATTGTTAGCAACTGGGATATATTTGGTTGCCTACTACAAGAAATAGAAGGAAATTATGGCTGAATCCTGGATTTTGACTTACTGCTTCACATTTTGGGAAATTTTTTTAGCATGATTGATCTGAATATTTTGTTTCTTTTCCAGACATCAAATGTAAAAAACTTCAATAACTTTCAGGCTTATTATTTTAAATTAAATCCAAGACATCGAAGCAACAAGCATATTTAAGATTAATAACAGTTTCTGAATAAACTTAATTAATTAAGAAAAAAATAATAATGTTTAAACATAACTTACAAAATGAAATTGTAAAATTTTAAGTTTTTTAAAAGTCAAAGTTTTTTAGAATTAAAAAAGTGTGTGGAAAGTAAAGCTTAATTTAAAACAAAGCTAGTTAATACAGCTCTAAGCTAAAAATGTTTCTACAAATTAGATAAAATAAATTTAAAAGCAAAAACTATTTTTAACTATAAAATCTTACTTATAATATTTCTTTTTTTCTTTAGTTGTAATTAGAATCTGGGAACACCTGGAGGATGACCAGTAACTGTAAAAGATATGAAATCATCATAAGGTTTAGAAATATAGGATACAAACAGTAACAGCAATTACTTTAAGTACTTTAAAGTAAAACCAAGTTTAAAATCACACTAGTTCATTTAAAAAATACTACTAAATGCTGCAAAAAATAAAAGGGTCACATTCCATTAAAAAAAAATTAAAGTAAGGCAAATATAAATATATTAGAAGCAACGCAAATTAAAAAACTACGCTAGTTAGTGAGAGGCTGAATGATCGGACAAAAAATTAGACGATTGAGATGAAAATTGAGTTAGTGAAGGTAATAAACGCGCAGTGTTAGTTTGCTTTGCTTCTACAATGCTATATACTGAGTGAGTACCTGAGAAAGAGATGTGGTTGCCCAAGCGGAGAGGCAAGCATTAACCATTGGTATTTGTGCAATACAGTGAAGCTAGAGCATAGGTCGGGGAGGTCATGCGAGAGAGAACAGCAATTTCCCAGCCAGGCTCACTTACTTGGACCAGAGTCACATTTGTTGCCAGGTTGTGTGTATATTGTTTCAAGGCGATATGTATAATAAATAAATATATAATAATATAATAAGCCACAGAATATCAAGATAAAGAAATGAGACTACAAAAACTCTGCATATTTGTACATTTTTGTGTTTTATCAAGATGGAGTAATTGATTTGGATTTACTTTTTTAAAAAAGCTTTATTTCGATATGATTAAGGAGTGGGGTAGTGGGAGAGAAAGAAGAGAAAGAGAGAGAGAAATAAATAAAGCAATTCGATTAATTAAAACCATTCATGCATTTTACTTTGTAGCATTATTATTACATAATACTGTACTTGACAAAAGATTACAAGCAAGTTTTTTGTTGGTATTTAATGGATAAAAGCAAGGTGCCTCTCTCTAACAGTCATGCTCACATGACTAGAAACAGCCCTTGACCTCGCTTTTTTCTCCTAACGACGAAATATCATTATAAAAGCGTTTTACGCCTACAGTTTAATAGTATAAATATTTTATTCTATATCTGCTAGGCAGGTATATTAATTATTGACTAAAATTACAAATCAATTATAAATACACTGGGTAATTTAAGAACGACAATTATAACTGTTCTTCTAAAAAAAATAATAATAATAAAAAACAATACAATAAATTTCTAAAAATCTATATATGTTTAAAACACACATTTAAAATGAAATAATTAATAGATTAAAACACTATACATCACATTCACAAATACGCTAACTTATAATTTATATATATATAATATTTATATATATGTATATATATATATATTTACTTAATTCACGATTTTATTTCTAAAAATGAACTGGTTCACTTAGAATACCGATATACTAATAAATTATGCTGTCACATTCATTCTGACAAACAAAAATAACTTATTATATGAAACACATAGTGCACAAATATCTCTTTATATAATATTGAAGTAATTATTATATTATCTATATATAACAATGTTAAGCAGCCTAGCATGCTAAGTGGCAAGAGGCACTTTGTGTAATGTTAAGGGTCCGTTCTTTTGTGAAAAGAGTGTATAAATGACACTCATCGCCTTAGCCACTAACACCAACAGAAACTATAATTTTATTTCTACAAAAGCAAGCCATATTGTGCACTCCTCGAAACCAATACAAAGCTCAAACTACTTTATAATATAATTATTAAACAGCTTCAAAAGCATATATAACAAAGTATTACATTGATAAAATCATATGATTAAAATATAACTGAATACCACCACCATAATATTAAATAAACCTTAAATTACTCCAATATACATATTTTCATGGTTTGAATAAATGTCTAATTGGCAACAGGAATGAAAGAAAACTATATCTAGCTAATTAGGTAAAACTCCTATTGGAAGAAATTATAGAATCTATGCAGTAAACTTTGGTTTACAAGGGCGCTTATTAGCCTTCATCAGGCCAACATATATTTCTGTGCTGTTAATGATAAAGGCGGTGTCCTTAATTACATATTTTAAAGCAAACTTAACAAAACAATGAGTGAAGCTAAAAATTGCAACAACAACAAACACGGTAGGCAACAATGGATAAATACAAGGTAACATGCTCAAATTCGCAAAAGAACGAACCACCCAACAAGTGTCTAACTAAACACATCCAAAATGCATTTACTTTGTGATCAACCCCGGCCCTCGGTCCAATGGCCTATACTAATAAAATTTAAAAACAAACAGGGATAACTAGCCTCGATTAATTACAAATATCTGCCATTAAAGCAGAGTGCCGGGGGAGGGGAGCAAAAAAATAAAATAAAATATACATCGTTTTTTTCCATAAAATGGACGTGACTTTATGATTAATTTTTAAATTAAAGGAACTCTAAGGTAAAATTTCTTATATTTTTACGTTGTTTTCATTTTTTTATACGGTTGGAGTTCATCATCATTGTTATTGTTGACATTTGAAGTAGGGAATTGTACGGAGAGAAGATCAGTGATAATTGGTGTAGGCTGAGGGGGTGGTGGTGGTTGGGTTGTAGGAGGTCGGATAAGGTATGGCAGATAAGGCTTCGGGGGCGCTTTGTTGAGTGCGACCCCAGTGAAAGCGGCCGCTAGGGGAGGGCGGTACTCACATGAGACCGGGACAAATGGCTGCAGAAGCTGCTGGTACGTTGCTGATGGCTGGTAAACTGGCACTCCTGACTTGTCTCCTGCTGCTCTCTTGTACGGCACCATACCAGGGAACCCCTGCACAACAGGCCACTAGTCATAAGAAAATCATAACATTAGTTTATAATCGTGAAGTAATAATAATAATAATAGACAATATATTTAAAATCTATGATTAAACTAATAAAAATGTCTCGTTTCATACTAACTATTATAAAATGCAATAAAACTTGGTTAATCGATAAAACCAAAATATGATTAAGCTACTTGAACTGTTTGTTTTGAAATAAAGTATTAATAGTTTAAATTAAAATAACACAATTTATCCTCAATATAGAAGAGGTTCAGTATCTTTAGGCAATGAAAATGAACAGACTACACTACTTAATCAAAATGTAGTAGCTTTTTAAATTTGTTGAGATAACTTAAGGGAAGACATCTTTAGAAACATTTATCTTGCACAAGATAAAAAAAAAAAAAAAAAAAAAATAGCAAGATAAAGAAGACAAAATGGAAGCTAATGTATCTAATTATAATTAGAGAGACTAGGATTATTTTATTTGGAATTAAATAAAAAAATAAAATAAATAAAACAATAAGAAACTCCTATTCTTCTTAAAACTACAAACTATGTATTTTGACCTTGGATCTTATAGATATATCAGAAAAGGCACAACATTATAGCTAAATTTATCTACAGTAAATTTTTAATCAATGGCCTATACTAATTCAATACATTTTTAATCAATGTATTACAAATTTTCTATTTCAATTTCAAAACATAGATTATGTTTTCAAATAATTAAATTTACCCAACAATATTATTAACGATTCTTAGTTTCTCAATTCAGAATATTGTAAACATCAGATTAACCAAGTTATGCAATAAATTTCAATAGAAGTTAGAACAGCATAATTGTAAGCACTTTGATTGGGTATATGAAAACCCAATTATCAGAAATATAATTAAATCAGTTGTTTCAGAAATGAAACATGCATCATTTTTGAGTTCAGATGGTTTCTGGGCACATGATTCATAGATAAAAATCATAAGTAATGTACAATTTCTACATCATATATTTTTGATAAATTTTTTTATTTAAAATTTTAGATAAGATAGTTTTTTGCTTCTTTTCAAAATCGTGAAAATATCACATGTCTCATTTCTGAAAAAAAATTCCTCAATTGTAAATGTTAATTATTATTAAATGATATTTGACTAATAAGTTTATTACAAAAATATTTGAGGATCATATAAATACAAATATATTCAATAATGAAAAAATGTTCATTCATTTATTATATTCTTTTATTTAGAATAAAACTAATATGTTATCTTTTATTCGCTTTTTAATCAGAAATTATCAATTGAGTTGGCATAAATTTATTGTCATTAGATAGTGTTTAAATATTTAACATATTGTCAGTTTGTTGCAAAAAGTCAGTAACATTTTAGGAAATTTAATCACAAGGTACTTTGGCTTTTTTTATCTGTGATATCAAATCATTGGTCTCTTAGTGTACTTTTTTTAATATACAATAGCGTCAGTATTGTTTTGAAATATTTATTAAGCTTTAGCAGTGGTAAATATTATGGGAATTCACAAATATGTATTTAAAAGTTTAGCTCCATCAACTTAGTGTAGTGTACTTTTTGTAATGAACCAATGATATACATTATTCAGTAAACCATTAAATTAAAAAAAGGAAATGTATAGGATTTTATACGCTATTTACAATTAACAAATAAACAATTTCTGAATTTTGATTCATAAATAATGTTTATCTCCTAGGATTAAGTGTTTTACTGAATTAAGATTTATCAAACTAATATGGGACTTAGCATCAATTAAGACAATGGTTAAAATTATAATAGTATTATTACCATTACATGTATTGTTAAATTTAAAACAAAAAACTGTAAAATAAATGCCAAATATTGGCAACTGGCTTAGCATTTCAACAATATGATGCCACTAAGATTTATTCTAATATAAACTAAATAGAATGAAGTTTTTTAATATTTTATGAATATAATTAATTTGATTACACAGCATTGATATATAAAATCCAATTTTATAATTTTTTTTTCTATTTGCACCTAAAAATCAATAATTATGTATCACGGAGTATAATAATTTTGAAAGAAATGATTCTAACACTTAAGTAATGGATGTAATCGAGACCATTAAATTATTAACTGCAGAGGGAAAATTTAAAATATAAATTCTCTAATGACATTTAAAAGAAAGAAAACTTTATTGCCGAACTTCTTCTATACTTGAACTTATAAACAATTGTCTATTGGCTCTAAAATCTTTCTGACAGGATTACTAACAGAATATTTAGGTGGAAAAACTTTAAAATTTAAAAAAATTAGATAAAATAGGTGGGAGACCTAGTTTGCTTAATTCTTTAAGCTTGACAACTGAAAAAATGTTTGTATTCAAAATTTTAATTAATTATTTTTTTTTGTTTTTGTTTAACAGTATAAGTTCAGTTCTTTCACTACTTTTAATTTTTTTTTTCATTGCGGTGATGCTATAAAATTATCATCATTAGTTTGCAACATAAAAATATTAACCTGTATCAACAAATGGTTAATCAAAATAACATGAACCTGATGTAATGATTAGTTCACTTTATCAAAAAAAAGATGTACCTATTTAACATATATTAAATAAAACTGACTTTTCCTTTTCAATTAATTAATTTAAATTATACCATTTTGTTAAGTTATTATTTAGTATTTAAATTTCACAATAGGATTAATGAGAGTAGAATTAACATTAGCAGTCAACAAATAAAAACTATCACTAATAAAAACAATTGGAAAAAAAAATACTTGGTAAACTTGATCCTGAGATCCCTCCAACCCCAAAGACCAATAAACAGTAGGCTCATATCGTTTCCTCAGGTAATCCTCTTGGCCAAGGTCCTGGAAAAAGGATTCAGAATCGATTGGACTACCTTTTGAGGTTCAAGAAATCTTAAATTAAAAATTTAATATAATAACCTAAATAATTTCACAAATATTTAAAATTTACAGATATAATGTAATTGAATAAATCTAATATAATTAAATAATAAAATGATCATTAACCTAAAGCTTTGCTGCAAACAATTCTAAATTAATAGCTATGAATAGAATATGGAAATAAGTTTTATGTTTTAAATTTACCCTTGCAATATAAATATACATATATATATATATATATATATATATATATATATATATATATATATATATATATATATATATATATATATATATATATGGCAAAAAAGTATCTTTAAACCTCAAAAGGTAGCAAAGCCTGAGTCCAAGGACCACCCACATTTAAAAGTTATCTATATAACGTAGAGGTTCAAGGAGGGATCTCAGCCTGCTTACTAATAATATAGTTGTTAACAAAAAAGATAAATAATTAGGTTAGAGCATGCCAATCATATAGTTAATACTTTAATTATTATAATTCCCAAAGAAAACACAAAACATTGTTTTTGTCAACACTAAAGATTAGAAAATAGAAACATAAAAGTTTGTTCTAGTTTGTATAATAAAAAATTTGCAAATATACATTTCAAACACTTCTGTTCTGTCCAAAAAATATTTAAAAACCATAGAAATGAAAAGTAAAATTAAATCCATTTTTTTTTTTTAAAGGAAACTTTAAAAACATAAGTTAACTTATAAACTAACTTTTTTCTCCTTTATTAAAAAATCAATCCTCTTTCTCGTTTTGATAGAAAAAATAAAAGTTGATCCCTTTTATTTAGGCACTTCATCAATTAAAGACTAACTACATTGATAATTCATTTAAATTTTCAAAAAAATTTATTTATTAATTCTCCTAAACAAAAAGATGTGGTGTAATTCTCCAATTCTGGAGATATTTAAATTTAGGTGTCATGAAGAACCAAAAAAGGTTTGAGGAAAAATCTTGGAGAATGATCATTTAAGCACTATTTTATAAACATAAATTAAAACTGATCAGAAGGATAATTTAAATACATTAGATTGTATTTAAGTTATAACTTCATATGCATTTCAATTAAATTGATAATTAAGCCATTTTCAGTTAGATTTTGATTTTTCTGAGTGAAATATACCACTCAATAGTATTATTGAGACCCTGTAGTCGATTGGGGATTTAATTTTAAGGGCTAAACTTTTTTTTTTATTAATATTGGTAATTCGAGGAACATAAGTCCATGTGTTGCAATTTAAAAAGAGGACATATTATGATTGTTAGAGTATTTTTTGGCTCAGATTACTCATAGAAACAAATATAGACAAAAGAAAAAAAATATATATATACATATATATCAAGAGAGAGAGAGAGAGAGAGAGAGAGAGAGAGAGAGAAAGTGAAAGAGGGAGGCATATAGAGAATGAAAAATTCAATTTCAAAATTTAGTCACTTGAATCTTGATTCGGCTTGTCCACCTGAAGAATGAAGTGGTAAACATTTTTGGAACATGGAATAATTTTTAAAAATTGAGGATTAAAGATAATTAATAAATTATATTTCTGATAAAAAGTTTTTTTTTTCAGTTTAACAAAACTTAATAATACAGAAAACAATAAAGAATTAACCAATTACGCACTTAAAAAATAATAAAATAAAATCATAATAACCATAATAGATAATTTATATCATTTAGTTAGGTAATACCACTTATATTTTATTAAGTAACCTTTTATGTTTATTATCAGATTAATAATAATTCTATAACATTCAAGATTGCAACACTTTTCCAGAAGTCAACACAATATCAAATTATGTACTTATGTAATTGTTCAGCAATTAAGTTTGTGCAAATATTGCTATTAAAACTATTTGTTAACTATTTCCTATTAAAAATAAAAGGCTGAAATGTCTCATTGTTCCTTACAGTATAATTTAATACAATTTGTTCAAATTTTATTAATAAAATTGTTTTTTTGATACTCAATGGTCCAATTATAATTAATGATTGATTAATTATTTTAATATCTCGATATTTACAATGAGGAACCTAATAAAAGGTGTAAATAACAAAATGTTTTCGCTTTTAAGAGT